TTATCTATCTATCTTCCTACTTTCTTTTCTCTCTCTCTTTATTTTATCTTTTGATTTCCCCACCCTTTTCTTTTTTCTTCTCTCTCTCTCTCTCTTTTTTTTTCTGGAGGGTTGGCTGGAGTTTCCGCTAAACAGCAAATCATAAATTCGGTGGGACAGGAGGGGGATTCATGGCGTCAGTGGTGAAATTTGCGCAAAAGTAAGAGAGGATCCTATTTCTGTCATATTTTAGAAAGGAAAAAAAGAAAGAAGGCTAAGAAAGAGAGAATGGAGAGAGAGAGAGAGAGAGAGAGAGAGAGAGAGAGAGAGAGAGAGAGAGAGAGAGAGAGAGAGAGAGAGAGAGAGAGAGAGAGGGAGAGAGAGGGAGAGAGTGAGAGAGAGAGAGAGAGAGAGAAGAGAGAGAGAGAGAGAGAGAGAGAGAGAGAGAGAGAGAGAGAGAGAGAGAGAGAGAGAGAGAGAGAGAGAGAGAGAGGAGGTGGCGGGTGGGGTGACAGAGACAGAGATAGAGGGAGAAACAGAGACAGACAGACAGACAGATAGACATATGGAGAGATGGAAATGTTTCGCATACAGACATCAGCGCATTTATAACTGAAGTATTTGTACCTAAATACAAGCATTCCAACAATGTCATTTTCAAATTCCATGTCTTCATGTCACCTCGACATTCACTTCTCTGTCTCTCTCGCGTTTTCGTCTCCTCTCTTCTCCTTGCCTCTCCCTCTTCTCCGTTTTCTTTCCCAAACCTCCCACTCCTTCCTCCCACATTCGCTTTCCGTCTCCCTCCATATTCTCTCCCTCCCTCTCTCTCTCCTCCCTTCTCTTTCCCTCTTCCTTTTTTATTCTCCCTCTCCTCCATTCTTTCCCCCCTTCTCTCTCCTCCTTCCTCTTTCCATCTTACTCTCTCCATTCTCATTCCCTCATCTTCTCCTCCATTCTCTTTACCTCTTCTTCTCCTCCATTCTCTTTCTTTCTTCTTCCCTCTCCATCTTCTTCTCCATTTTCTTTACCTCTTCTTCTTCTCCTCCATTCTCTTTACCTCTTCTTTTTCTCCTCCATTCTCTTTCCTTCTTCGTCCCTCTCCTCCATTCTCTTTACCTCTTCTTCTTCTCTTCCATTCTCTTTACCTCTTCTTCTTCTCCTCCATTCTCTTTCCTTCTTCTTCCCTCTCCTCCATTCTCTTTACCTCTTCATCCCTCTCCTCCATTCTCTTTACCTCTTCTTCTCTTCCATTCTCTTTACCTCTTCTTCTTCTCCTCCATTCTCTTTCCTTCTTCTTCCCTCTCCTCCATTCTCTTCACCTCTTCTTCTCCTCTCTTTCCCTCTTACTTCCCTCTCCTTCTTTTCCTTCATTCTCTTTACCTCTTCTTCTCCATTCTCTTTCCTTCTTCTCCTCCATTCTCTTTCTTTCTTCTTTCCCCTCCTTTTTCTCCCCCATTCTCTTTACCTCTTCTTCTTCTCCTCCATTCTCTTCACCGCTTCCTCTTGAGCAACGAGAGGTCGCCGCCGAAGACTAAAGAAGTCTCGTCACGTCTCATATTGACGGCGTGTCCCTTCTCCTTACCCGGTGGAAGGATGAGGGATGAGGTGCTTTCTCTCCTTCGAGGTGAGGAGGACTGGGGGGGGGGGTAATAAGGGGGGGAAGGAGGGGTTGGTGTAGGAGTGGGGGTGGGATGGGGGTGGGAAAGGAGGATTGTGGAGGAATGGGGAGGGGGGTAGGCGGGTAGAGGAATGGGGGAGGGGGGGGAGAAGGGAGGAGGGGTTATGTAGGTGAGCTTGCGACACTATAAAGTGGGGAGTTTTTAGTAGTGGTATATCTGCACGTAGATAAACAGACACACGCACTAACAGGCACACACACACACACACACACACATACACACACACACACACACACACACACACACACACACACACACACACACACACACACACACACACACACTAACATACGTTGACACACATGCACACACACGCACACTATAACATAGCTTTGCTTCCGGCATATAATCTAAATGTCAATGGAACGGTAAAAAAAATCAAGAAAGAATTATTACATATAAAGAAAATAAAACAAAAAATTAAAACAAAAAAACAAAACAAAAACAAAACATGAATCTAAATCATGTCTTAATCCAAAGATATGATTATGATAAATGTAATTATTATGATAAGAATAGTTGAAGATATGAATAAGACATATAATTCTACCCGCTTTGCATACATAAATATATCTCCATCAGAAATACCTGTACCTGCACATTTAATTCCGAATAAAGATAAAAATCGAAACGCACCAAATACATCCCTTACTCTATGAAAATATCAATTCCCTTTCATACCTTTATCTCCCTGAATATCTTTAATAATAAAAAAAAAAAACATATGTATCTTTATCCATAGATCCCGTATATATCCTAAGGTGATGTGTCGACAGGCAATTTCCCGGATGGAACACAGGCGTTGGCAATTTCGTTCCCCCGAAGAGCTGCACGTAAGA